GGGGGAGCAGTGGGGGGAGCCATATCAGGGGTCAAAGTGACCGCTATAGTACTGTTAATATCTAGGCCTGCGCTCCCTGGAGTGGTCCGGATCAGAGAGTCCATGTGGGCTTTGCAGGGCAGATCTCCTCTTTTAATGACGGGGCTGGGGGCAGCCCCTCCGGCTGTTTCCCTGCGGTTGGCCATACCCTGTGTCTTGATATAACGGCTGCCTATTTTTATGGAATCTCGATTTACAATGGCTAGCCCAATGGTAGCCCTTCTGGCACCTAGGACACCGAGAGGTTGGTTTTGTGTTGATCGGCTCAAGAGGCGGGATGTTCTCGCCTTTCCCTAGAGCACCACCTTGTGTCCTACATTCTTTTCTAAAATGTCCTGTTTTCCCACAGTTATAACACTTATTATTCTTTACAGTTACAGCGGCGGCGAGTACATTTACTACATTCTGACCCCACATTCTGACATGCTCAAATCATTTCTGTAATGGTACTACCTTTTCACAGAGGCATCAGAAATTTCTTACAATCCTCATTGGCATTTTCATAAGCTAATTGCTGAATTAAAATATCTCCTGCTATCTCATGTTGAATCTGTCATCTCACTGCTCGAGTGAGACGAGCCACAAAATCAGAAAATGATTCTAAAGGTCCCTGCATGCACTTACTAAAAGCTCCCTCAGAGTCCCCTTTTGCTGGTAAAGCCCACCAAGACTTCCTTCCACAAACTCTAATTTGCTCATATGCCAGCTGCACATAATTTAACTGAGTTTGCACGTCATTATATTGTCCCAGTCCTGCTAGCATTTCATAAGTTATTTGAGCATTCAGTCCACGGTTTGTATGGGCTTGCTCCTGGCATTTCTCCAAAAATTCTCCCTTCCATAGTAAATAATCTCCTCCATCCAGAGTTGCACGAGCTATAGAGTACCAATCATGAGGTATTAAGAATGCTTCAGAAATACTATTCATAATTTCTCCTGTAAAAGGAGCGGTTGGACCATTTTGAACTACACTTTCACGTAAGACCTTTATCATTTTAAAGTGAATTTTTTCATGGTGTCTTGTTATCTGATTCGGGAGCTGTGGGTCAGCTACCTGTATGATAGGAAATGCAAACCTTTCTTCCACCAGCATGTCCTTCAATCCTTCTCTGATGGCTTTTTGCACAGGTGATTCCATTAATGGCGAGTTAATCATTTCAGGATTAGGACATGTCCCTGCTTACTGAACTTTTTTCAAGTTCTGACTTACTTTTTGGCAAACTTTCAAGATCTAATGTACCTTCTTCTTACTTTTTAAAGCCGAATCTATTATTTTTTTTAAGCCGAATATATTTTTTTAAAGCCGAATCCTGCCCCATTAGCCTGGATTGAGAAAATGTTCCCACACCGCCTACAGCTCCAGACTGCTGTAGCTGATTGTGGCTGTTTGTGTGCGGTGAAATAACCCCTCACCTTTACGGTGAATTTTCCTACCTTTATGGTGAATTCTTCGTTCCTCACTTTTGCCAGTGAAACTTCGTTTTTTCGCTCTAGCAAAACCTTCACTTCCAGAGTCCCTGTTCGGGTGCCAGATGTAGTAAATGTTTCCTTCCACGTCCTGCGTGGTTCAGGGTTCAATATCTGGAAGAGGAGCCGCACACAAATGAAATAGAAAAGGCAAGAGATAATTTGGAAATATTGGGGGACCAGGAGGGTAAGTCCAACTCAAGAGGAAGGACTTCCACCCGTGCTCAGTCTGCACTGACCTTTTATAGTCTGAGGTAAACAATGCCGTGGTTACCATAGTTACAGTTCTTGTGAGTTTCCATGTTTACACTCCCTGCACTTCCCTGAGCCCATTAGCTTCCCAGGTAAGATCTGGGGAGTGTTATAAGGTCAAGCCTAATTATGCTAAGAGGACTGAGTCCTCTAAACTGGGATTTGTTTGTGACTTTGCCAGCAGGTCAGTCCGAGGCTCAACCCTATATCAGTTTCCCACAACTTACAGTGCCTAGAGACTCAGGAAAGGCTTTGGAAACACATTTGCCCAAACTGAGAGTTGGTTCTCAAAACTCGGGTTAACAAAGTTTTCTGAGTGTTTCGGTTCGAAGTAAGGATGTGTGCCTCTAACTCTACTCACTGAAAGTCTTGATCTGATTTTTTAGGCAACTATCCTCTTTTGTTTTCTTCACTTCATTGTATTTTTAATCCACTCAGTTGAAGAAGACATTCTTTTTTTAGATTTAGTAAGGTTTAGTTGACAAATGTAATTGTAAGATATTCCAGTGGACATGATAATTTGCTACATGTAAACATTCTGAAAGGATTGTCGCTGGTTTACTTAAAATATCCATCACCTCTCATATTTCCTCTTTTTTTTTTTTTTTTTGGTGAGAACACTTAAGTTCTAACTTAGCAAATTTCAATTAAACAATACTGTGTTATACATTAGATCTTAGATCTATTTATCTTATACCTGAAAGTCTGTACTATTTACCTGCCTTTCCCTATTTCTCCCACCTCATGGGAACCAACATTCTTGCAGTATTTGTCTTTTTTGTCTGGCTTATTTCATTTAGCATAATGCCTTCCAGGTTCATCACATTGTTGAAGTGACAGAGTTTTCTTTCCTTTTTTTTAAAGGCTGAATAATATTCCCGTGTGTTGTGGTGTTTGTGTGTGTGTGTGTGTGAGATTTTCCAAATTATTGTTTTTGACATACCAGCTGTCAATATAGCATAAGGTTTAAGGACACAGGTTTAGAAACTTACATAACTGATTTAGATTTCCAGCTACACTATTTACTAGCTATAAAATAGTATTTAAAAATACCTAACTCACAGTTATTGTAAATATTGGATTTTATAATGTGTATATAAAACATTTTGCACAATGCTTAGTGACCCATTATATAGTCAATGTGAATGTGTTTGTTTATATGTATATATTTATTATGATATGCTACTGAATAAAACAATGAAAATTCTATATTCATGGTTTCAATGTTCAAACACCATAATGGTCAGCAAATGTTGTCTTAAAAGGACAGATATTAAATATATTTGACTTTGCTGGCCATATAGTCACCAACGACCCAAATCTGTCATTGTAGCACAAAAGTAGTCATAGAGAAGACACAAAAGAATGGGGTGGCTATGTCCCAATAAAACTTTCCTTACAAAAGCAGGCTCATGTTTGTTAACTCCTGAGATAGACTATCATAAGTTTATTTGGTACTTTTAAAAGTAAGGTGAATGTTATAAAAATTGACATCAAGTATCTGGAATATGTTGCTTTTTTATACTCTCCCATAATTTAATTATAATTAAATACTTTGTTTTATTTCATGAAATGTCTGTATTTATATGTAAACGAGTAAGATTAACATTCTTGACTTTTGAAAGAATGAACAGTCTCTCAAAGTCCACAGCTATGTTTGGTTGCAATATTTTTTACAGTATTTGGCAACTCCCCATGATCAAAAGGTAGAGACTATTTCTCCTCCCCACGAATCAAGCTTTGGCCAGGTGGTTTGCTCTGATGACAGAACATTGACAGAGGTAACCCAAGCAGAGGCATGTTATTCAGAATTGGGTTTTATCCTTTCTGGCTGCTCCCTAAGAAGAGGTCTAGGACAGCCTACCGGGGACAAGAGACCCAGTGGAGCATAAACAAGCCATTACAGCTGAGACTCCCTAGATTAACCAGTCTGCCAATAACAGATACATGAGCAAGACCATCCTAAGCCATCCAGCCCCAGCTAAGACTCACAAAAATGAGGAATGAAGAAACAGGCACTGCAATGAAAATGTGCCCTAAAAAATCTGTAACATTAAAAAATATGCCATGAACCCTATACCACATTGGTTTTTATTACTGCAGTACAGTAGTCCCTCACTTATCTGTGATTTCAGCTTCCACAGTTTCAGTTCCTCGTGGTCAACAGCAGTCTGATCATATAAATTGAAAATTCCAGAAAGAAACAATTTATAAGTGTTCAGTTGCTCACTGTTCTGAGTAGGATGCCCAAATCTCACACATTCCTGCACCATTTTGTCCGGGACATGAATCATCCCTTTGTTCAGCATCTCATTGCCTCATAAAGATCGTCATGGTGTTGCAGTGTTTGTGTTCACATCACCTCTAGTCTAGCGCTATGTCATGATGCCTATGTCATTCATATCATCACCTAGGCATTATTATCACCTGACATCCTAACAAAAAGGGTGAGTATAGAACAATATATTGAGAGAAACCACATTCACATAACTTTTGTTACATTCTATTGTTATAATCTTTATATTTATTATTATTATTAATCTCTTACTGTGCCTAATTTATAAATTAAACCTTATCATAGGTATGTATGTATAGAAAAAAAAACATAGTATATAGAGGTTTTGGTACTAATTGTAGTTTCAGGCATCCACGGGGATTCTTGGAGCATACCCCCTGTGGACTAGTACTCTAATTCATAACATTTCTGGATGCCAGGAAAGCTTAGTGGTCTTCACTTCACTGGCATTTGTCACTGATTTATGTTGTATTACTAACTGTTAATAATGTGGTAAAATTTCTGACATTTTGGAGGGCCATTAATTCCTATCGCTCTTTTAATAATAATTTCTATGGTAAGTACTAATGAGGCTCAAGGGCTTGTAATAGATTATACCCCCTACTAAGAGGTGAGTAATTCTTCCATTTCCCACAGTAGAAAAAAAGGTAACAAACACAAGGCACATCCTCACTTAGCAAAAAAGTTTATTCTGGAGCTATTGGATGCTCAATTAACGTTGTGCCCAGAGTAGATTCACAGAGAGAAAAAAAGAAAATAGTGTCCTCATTGTATGACAGCCCACGGCATCTAAGAGCAGTGCCGACTCTCCTATGGGGGAACTGCTCTTCCCTCTGTGGCTCCATCCAATTCTCAACATGGGGCTGCCCTTTTTTTGCTGCTTCTACAAATGATCCCAGTTTATCCTTCGGATTTTCCCTTAAGAAAAGCATCCTTTCTGGTGGCTCCCCATTTTCTTTTTGTTCTTGGAAAGGCAGTGCATTTATACAAATGGGAGAGAGAAGGTGTGCAGAGTTTACAACAGTGGGGATCCTACAGCTGCTTAGAGGGTCTCTATTCAAGGGAAAAAAAGAAAAGAAAGAAAGAAATGCACTGTGCTGATTAGCTCAATATTCATAAATTGCCATTTGTGTGTGTTTGTTTCAGTCTTCTGAGGGGTTTACCATTTTTTTCTCATGTGGCCATTATCATTTGATATAGAAATCATACTCTGATAATATATTTAATTAATTTGGTTATGTATACAAGTGACTCCTTAAATATGGTAGTTTTGTTATTCCTTACTTTAAGGAATTTTTTTGTGGAACTGGAAATTACATACTAAAAAATGTTGAATTTGGAACATATTAAGGTTCTTGGAAAATGAAGTCAGGCTTCTGATCTGGGCCCCTCTCTGCTCTTCATCCTTCTCACCGTGACATAGTGTTTGGGAATGAAGTATACACATAATGAAAATAATCCATTTAATGTAAGCTGAAATAAAAGGAGGCTAAATTGAAAGAATTCTTTACCTCTCAGAAACTACTGTCTTTGTAAGCTGATGTTTTTTGTTGTGATAATAGCCATTCATCAATCTTCCAGCCTACGACCTTGAAGTTGCCTTTTTACCCATTTCTTATCTTGAATATTCATGTTAAGTGTTTTTATTTAGCCCATTAGACCTTTAGCTCAATTTGATTCTTATTCACCCTCTCATTCTGGGCAGGGCTTTAACACCAAAGCATGAGGTGGCTGCAGGAGTCTTATCTCTGACATAGATTTATTATCTCCACCAATATCCTGCTGACCATTTCGAGAACAACCTTCCCAAGACACACTAGTTTCCTTATCAGTGGTCGGCAAACTGCGGCTCGCAAGCCACATGCGGCTCTTTGGCCCCTTGAGTGTGGCTCTTCCACAAAATACTGACTTCTGCACATGGGCCACAAAGTTTCAATCGCACTGTACATGCGCGCCCGCACATGGTATTTTTTGGAAGAGCCACACTCAAGGGGCCAAAGAGCCGCAGTTTGCCGACCACTGCCTTAGGTTACCAGGTTCTTCAAGATCTTAGAATAACGCTGTGATTCTATATCAGTGATGGCGAACCTATGACACGCGTGTCAGAGGTGACATGCGAACTCATTTTTTTGGTTGATTTTTCTTTGTTAAATGGCATTTAAATATATAAAATAAATATCAAAAATATAAGTCTTTGTTTTACTATGGTTGCAAATATCAAAAAATTTCTATATGTGACACGGCACCAGAGTTAAGTTAGGGTTTTTCAAAATGCTGACACGCCGAGCACAAAAGGTTCGCCATCACTGCTCTATATCCTTTCTAAACTTCATAACATTTCCCACCTCTGTCCCCTCCCACTGCTGGCTGCACAGTATCATTTGAAATCTTACATATCCACTTTTGTCTTTAACATGTGACATATTTGTTCTCAGATCCATGTCTGAGTTTAACCCTACTCCCCTCCACACCCCCCCAAAAATATTCCATCTAACTTATTTTGGAACATCTGAATTATATCCTTTATTTTATACCGAAGCAAACTCTATTTGCTTCATGGATCCTATTC